CATGTGATTAATTGCATGCGCGGCCTCTTTGACATGCTCAGTGGCATTTTCAAGGGGCAGTGCTCCAGAAGCCCAGGATCAGCTGGAATCCTCAGCTGACCCTGGCTCCATGCAGAGATACCCCTTGGAAACACCGCCACTACGGCACTTTAAAGGGACAGCGGGCAGTGCTGCAGGAGCCCAGGATCAGCTGGAGTCTTCAGCTGATCCCAGGTTCCACATTGGGCTGCCCCTTGGAAACGCTGCCGTCGCATTTCAAAGGGGTAGTGCTGTGGGAACCTGAGATCAGGTCCCCAACTGATCCCAGGCTGCATTGCGCTGCTGCTTTGAAACACCTGGGTGGTGCTTCAAAGGGGGCAGCGCTGCCTGGAGCCTGGGGTCAGCTGAGGACTCCAGCTGATCCCAGGCTCCTACTGCACTGCCCCTTTGAAATGCCCTGGTGGCATTTCAAAGGGACAGTGCTGAGGAAATGCCTGCGATTACATGTTAAAAAATTAATGCATTAATTGTGCTCTGCGTTAATCACAGGCATTAACGCACATTAATTGATAGCCCTACTATAAATGTCTATACAGACACCCCAAGTGAATATAGTTATAAATACTAAAACACAAATAGTCTCACTGCAAATGGCACTCACTATCAAAATTCTGAGTTAGAAACTAGAGAATTAGCAAGACACTAAACGAAATAGCTTCCCTACTCAAAAACTGGTTAGAATTGCTACAGTGAAGGAATATGAAATTAACATAATATTCATAGTAAGGCCTAGTGACAGACTATGCCAGGGCCTGGGTACGGTGGAGAGGGGAGCTCGGTTTCAGACCCCTGGAAGGGGTGGGGTTAAAAGCAGCCAGCCGCCTCCCCAGCAAGCCCTTAGTGCCACCCGGAACACACCGCGCCTCCTTCAGTTATCCAGCCCTTAGCTCCAGTGGCAATTTAAAGGGTCCATGCTCTGACTGCTACTGTGTTCATGGCGCAGAGCCCTGTGCCCTTTTCAATTGCTGAGCCCATGGAAACTGCCTCTCTTGGCCCCTCTCTCTCCATCAGTAACCCTGTTCATAGTAGCTATTGTAAAATATCTTTTGTATTATCCCATTGCTTATTATTAATATCTCCAAAAGGGTTGCCTCCGAGTTTTAATAGATGTACTATGCTGTAGACAATGCTTTGATTACAACTGGGTAGGTTATTTTTGTATCCCAGTTTATTTCAACAGCTGTATCACTGGTTTGGTCTGGTCAGTGTCCCTGCAGTCAGCTGTGTCATTGTGGTCAGAACATTTTGGGCCATATCCTTACTGAGTGTAAATCAGCATTGCTCAACTGAAATTAATGAAGCTACAGTTACTTACCCCAGCTAAAAATCTGACCTTCTGTTTTTATTTCACAGATCACAGGACTTTTCTTTCCTCCGTAGACCTTGGTTTAAATAATCTTTAAATATATAGACTCTAAATGTGTGTCAAACTTGAGATCATAAGTAAAATGAGTTTGGAGGCCTAAGCTTAGTCTTCATTGGAAAGTAATCCACATCAGTATTTGGTACAATTAGTTGTCTGTTCAAGAGCATTTAAGAACTAAGGTAGCGTAGAAACTCAATTACATTTTGTCTCCAGGAGAGACAGAAAGATCCTACAGGTCAGGGAGAATGTTTCTTGGCAGTCTAGTGCAGTGGTGCTTGAACCACAGCTGTCTGAACTATAATTGGCCTATGAAAACTTAGACGTGCCATGCTACTAGATCGTTAACTTTCATGACCACAAACATTCTCCAGAAATTAACACAGAATTCAAATTGTATGCACCAGGGATCAGTTGAGTAATTCTGAGCCTCTTAAGGGTTTACTACAATAAATAAATTCTTTAAACAGGCTGTATAGTAAATAACCGGTGTTATATCCACGGGGTTAGTTAATGGAGCTTAAAAATATTTGATGATGAGAGAGCATTTTGAGTGAGCCCTCGAGGCAGGCAGCATGTAGGCCAGTGGAAAACTAGAGAATTCTAAACATTGTGGCACTTGCCAAAAATGTATCAAGGATTTTCAAGCTCTTGCAGCTCAAAAAAAGGCTTTGATTTGGGGTTTTGCCCGCTAACGTTAATAAAGAGATTTAAATCTGTAAAACTGTGTTTACACTCAGATACTACTAATGGAACAACTTTTGTTCCCTGACTATATTTTGAAGATTTTGTGCCGAAGAAGCTCAGTATGTTTTCTTTACTCACAAGAGGTTAGTCCATGCCCTGAAACATAATTTATATAAATCTTCTATGTAACAACCTAAAAAACTCCCAGTGAACTATCCTTCCCCTTCCAGGTTCCATTTTCCCAGACATCTCCCAACATACTCTTTAAATCTTTGTCTAAGGTAGAGGTGGACAACAACTTCTGATGGAGCCATGTCAAGATTTTTGGTAAATGGTCAAGGGCTGCACTTTTCTGTGAAGGGGTTGTGGGGTCTGGGATGGAGATTGGGTGCAGAAGGGAGCTAGAGGTAGAGGATTGAAGTGCAGAAGAGGGTGTGGGGTCTGAGAGGAAGTTTAGGTGAAGGAGGGAGTTGTGACCGAGGATTAGGGTGCAGGGTCTGGAAGGGGGTATGGGTAGAAGAGAGGATTCTGGCCTGGCGGTGGAGTATGGAAGGGGGTACAGATTCTGGAAGGAAGTTGTGACCTGGGGGAGATGGGGTGCAGAAGGTTTGGGTTGTGACCTAGGCAGGGGATTGCAATACAGGTTTCAGGAGGAAGTATGGGTGCAGGAGAGGATTCTGGCCTGTGGCAGGGGTATAGAATGGGGAGCAGAGTCTGGGAGGGAGTTATGACCTGGGGGTGGAGGGTGCAGAGGGTTTGGGTGGTGACCTGGAACAGGGTGTTGGGGTACATGATGGGGTGGGTGCCAAAGGCAGGCTCTGGCTGAGAGGTGCTTACCTAGATGGCTCCCGGCCAGCAGCCCAGCGGGATCCTCAGGACGACTTCTTGCCCCAATGCTCAGAGCAGCTGGCGGCTCAATGTCCCTCCCTGCACTGCATGGGGAGGAGTAGGCTTCTGTCCTCCCACCCCCAGCATCCAGAACTAGCCAATGTGAGCTGAAAGTTTGTGGTAGGGGCATGGCACAGAGAGGCAAATGGAGCAGCCAGCCGCTTGGAGCCCTGGAGCTGCTTCCTGCCTGATGGTCAGGCAGGGCAGGTCATGGTCCGGATTGAAATGCTTGGTGAACTGGATCTTGCCTGCCCCTGGTTTAAGGTATTGATTGGAATAACACTGTACTGTCTAATTATTTGGCCAAACTTTCTTCAGGATGCTATTGTTCTCTTCTCAACCTGCACACTTAAAAGATCTCTGTGGAGTCAATTTGGAAGTTGTCCCAGATACATTGGTGTCCATGAGACATTTATACAGGGTTAGAACTAGATAGCAGCCAAGGAATAGAGTGCGGGGGGGGTGGGAAGGGGGAGTTCAAATACAATTTGAGTAAGCAGGATGCTTTCTTGAACTAAGCCTGGGGAATCTTTTGAAGTTTGCACATCACTACTTTCTATCCAATTAGTAAGACTGGTGAAACAATGAAAGAAAGAAAAAGTCAGTCTCTGGAGGATTCTGCCAAATAAAAGTAAAACCTGTCCAAACCAGTTGGTTCTTATTAATTTCTGTGTTTCCTTTAACACTGTAAAACTTTACTGTGATTAAAAAATATGTAGCCCTTATGGTTATTTGCATCTGCAAAGATTAATTCAGTCCTCAAATGTCTCTGTGAATTACTACAGGCAAAGAGCTATTATTATCCCCATATCACAGATGAGAAAATTAAGGAAAAGCAGTTGAATAGTTTTCACATATAGAACTCCTTGTGTGTGCGTTTATGTAACATCTTGTGTGTGCAATCATTGGGAAATAAAAATATTCCTGCTTTAAATAAATCACCAAAACAGCAACTCTGAGGACAGGCCAAGGTGTCGAGGAGATGTCAGTATGGAGACTGGAACAGGTCACTTGCTTAGGGCCATTGTGGGATCTTGCTCCTGCGCTATTAGTCTCAGGGAGTTTTGCTTTGGACCTCAGTGGGAGCAGTATCAAGCATTTAAAGTACTGAGATTAAACTCAGGAGTTCCGGACTCTCGGTCTCTTCTGGAATCTCTAAAATAAGTTATAATGACAGTCTGCATACATCCAGGCACATTTTCATTCCTAGATCTCAGAGCACTTTTCAAAGGCAGGTAGGTCCTATGATCTCCCTTTTGGACATGGAGTAATGGCAAAGTGAGGGTCTTAAGAGTAGTTCAGTAGCAGGTCCAGGAACAGAACTCAGGTTTCCCTACTCTAAGCCCTCAACTCAACCCAATAGACTTCTGCTAAGTGCACATTTTACAAGGGTAATATGTTTTCTGCAATACGTATGCTTCAGAGCACTGTGTATGCTGTACCATCTCGTGCAGCCTGCTTCTCATGGTTTAGCCAGTCACATCTTCTGGCTAATACAGAACTTGTACAGGCCCATGCTGGTAGGTAGCCCTTGGGATTACATTATGAGACAGCCTCTTGTGTGACTCTTTGGACATGAATGTAAAGTTCTGCATAATCAATAAGTCGCTTGTTGAAGCAGATACAACAATATGCTACAGATTGTTAATACAGATTCTCTTCCAGATGCCATACTCCAGCTCTCTAATCAAAGTTCAGAATCACAAAATGTGGACTCTTTAATGATGGATTCTCCTGTTTGTTTGTGTTTGGTGGGAAATGCAGAGCACTCTTTTTTTATATAAAGTGTATATTTTCCTATGCACTGTCCTTTGCTGACAGTGTATCTTAATACTTCGCAGCTCTGTACTCCAAAAGCAGACAGAAATGTGTTTTAAAAAGGGAGTCTTACTTCTTTAAATGTATACTATGTATGTATCTAAAAAGATGAAATATTGACACCCCCCCCAAAAGAGTGCAAAAGGTAGGGCTATCTGGAGGCTCGATTTTTAAAGATATGCATTTTTTTCTTACTATGTTGCAGATCTCGCCTTGCAGATTTTTTCATAAACTGCCAGCCTGAGTCACGGTCTATTAGTAGCTGTCTGAAGGAAAACTATGCTGACTGCCTCCTTGCTTACTCGCGGCTTATTGGTAAGAGCTTTGCGGGGAATGGGTGCTCTTTGAGTGTTGCTTGCAAATGGAACAAAAGAATGACATCGTGAAGGCCTACTGAATACAAAAAATAAAGTTAATGCTCTGGATCACATTGCGCCATGAGATTGTAGGCAGAATTCACCAATTAAATTAATGGCCCTTTGTTTTGACTTGGAGATTTTCCTGGAGTAGTACGTTAAACTATACAGAGGCAAGCAAAATAAGGGCAGAAGAGGTGCTTGAATGTGAAGAAAATCAGTATGGAAGCAAGGAGAATTAAAGATTAAAAACAGAGGGGTTGATATTGGACAGGCCCATCAAGTAAAAAATTGAATAGAATAGGGGGACATTGACACTTGCTAGTGTTTGCTGTTATCAGAAAAATCAGGTGATATTGACATATTTAGGGAATGCTTGCTATGAACTGAAATAAGAGGCAACATTAGGTCAGATCAGTCCCATTTCATTTCTATCAATTATGTTTTCATCATCTTCTTATGGCCCTTCAAAATGTTTCTGAGATGCCTATCAGTGGCATCTGAAGTTATCTTCTGAAATCCTCTCCTCCAATAATTCATTTTGTTTGCTGCCATTTGCCTGTGTCTCACCCAGGAGACATTTATAAGCAAGTCAGATTTCATAATCTACCCAGGCTGTTTGATTCTTACTTGGGAGAGCTCATCTTGGGGAAGTGACCTTACTACAGAAATGTCATAGCTAGACAATAAGGAAAAAGGGAAGCATTGAAACTGTGAAACAAACAAATTTAAAAAAATAGCCACTAGGTAATTTTTTTTTTTCTAAGCTCACAGCCTGCACCTGCCATGATGCATTCATAGCCCCTTCTGTTAGGAGGAAAGGCCCCAACTAAGTCCTTGAAGCAGTTCCTGCTGTTAAATAAATGTCTTCAGTGATACCATCAAGAACAAAACATGTACAGAGTAGTATGATCTCGCTGGGAAATTATATTAAAGCCAAATCCTAAAAATAAATACGGTAAATATATATGACTACTAAGAAAAGACATGGTAGTTTTAAAGACCACGGGCCAAGATTTAACAGAAAAATAATATGTAGAAAGCAAGACATGTGAGTAGTGACTGATAAAAATTCACTGAACAAAGAACTGAGTAGCTAAGAAATCAGATCTGATCAATGAACTTAAAGGTGCTAGCTTCTGGCAAGGAGTAACTCTTGTACAGGTTGTACCTCCCATAACTGGGGCTTCCTGGTCTGGCAACATCTGTGGTCCGGCACCACAGAGCCCAGGAACAGAGAGGTCTGGCAGCAGGGCAGAAGTGCATAGGGTCCACCAGCAACTCAGCCAGGACACACACTCGGTGGGTGGGTGGGTGTGTGGTGTGGGGGAACAGGTGGCACAGCGGAGAGTTATGGCCTCAGAAGCAGTCTGGGAGCTCAGGCCTCAGCCACAGATGCAGGTGGCTGAGGAATTCTGCCCTGGCTGTGGAGCTCCGATGCCGGCAGCAGCAGGGCCAGCGGCATCTAGAGAACCCCAAGGACTGGGGCAGCAGCATGGACAGGCTGGGGCCTTAATTCGGTGGCAGCCCTGGTCAGGAGAGGAGGGACTGCCCCTGGTCTGGCAAATCCCCTCGTTCGGGACCAGTCAGGTCCCAAGAGTGCCTGACCAGCGAGATCCAACCTAGATTAATGGATAACTCTAGATAAGAGATGTTGGCAAATTGTTATTGGTCTAGAGATTTGTGTAGTGGGTTTTATTGGATCCATTTTACAATTTAACATTAAGGATGGCCCTGTTCATATAGAAAGGTTATTATGTGTTTGTAACCCCTCCTGTTGGCTAGCCCAGTGTGAGGTTATTCAGCATAGGGCAAGCCTTGTTCTTACACAACTGTAGGAGGGTAGGTCTGAGGCTGCTTGGTGTGCTCTGCGTTGTGTATGTGTGAGTGCACCTCAAACCAGACCCACCCAGACATATCACCAGGAACAGGCTTTATTCTGTAAAAAACATAGAACAGGAAAATAGTTCACCAGCCTCTTCTCTCAGCATGCAGCCTGTGTGCTACTTCTAGCACAGTCCTTGCTGAGAACCTGCTGGGGGCAGACGGCACATTCTGGCAGGAACCAGGAAGTTATCCCAGCATGCCGCAGTTTGTAGTCCACAACTTGTAGTTCCCAGGGCTGGTGCTGAAACACACTGGACCTTGGGCTACGTGTTTCTATAGGCAACGATATTGCACAAATAGTATTACACTGCATACATGCTTTCTGAAACCAGGGACATGGAATAGGGTCCCTAAGGAAGTGAAATCAAAAGGAGGTCTAACTTCAGAATGGGAGATAAAATTTTTCTTCTCTCCTAATAGCCCAAATATGAGAACTGACTAGTTTTAGAGCAGTACATGCCTTTCAGCTGTAGTTCAGACAAACAAAGGAATGCCCTAAAACAAACCTTCCTTGTTGTGGAACAAGATCCTACTTCTGATCTCTGTCAGATCAGTGTAGATCTGGAAAAAAATTCAGTGGTTTCAATCAAGAAACTCCATATTTACAGCAGTCTGGGTAAGATCAGAATCAGGGCCAGAGTCTTCCTACTGAGTTTTGTAAAAAATATGGAAAGCAGATCAATTTTGGTTAATACTTTGTAGCAAGCTATTCCAGGTTCATTCCTCTAAATACCAGGCATCTCCAGCTGGCCTGTTTAAGATACAACACTGAGCATTAAATCTGAATACTGTTTAATTTAGTTACTTCAGAAGAGGTTGCAGAAAATTCTGAAGAGAGGGCAGCAAGATTTTGTAACCTCTGCCTGTTTTAGGAATATGAGGGTTCTCTGTGGAATGCGCCTCTGCTTTCACATACACTGATTTAAATTAGAGGCAACTCCACTGACGTTTGTGGAATTACAAATGGAGGAAAACTGGTGTAAATGATTAAAACATTCCAGAGGGGTAGCCTTTTAGTCTGTAGCTGAAAAAATAACGAATAGTCCTGCAGCACCTTAGAGACTAACGGTTAACTGGTGTAAATGAGGGTAGAGCCATGCCCAATGGCAGTAGGTGAGATGTTGTAACAGTTAAATGGAAAGCAGTTTGCATAGGGCTATGATTCTGCATTATATTGGTATGATGTATACAATTTGAAAGTATATTTTATTGGAAGAAGATTTGGTTTTGTGTGTGAGATGAAAAAACAGTATTTACTCATTTTCATTAAAAAAGTGATAACCTTTAAAGGAAAAAGACATGATTATTTGGTCTGGAAAAAGATTGAAGATAACAAGATGTGAAACCCCAATACACTGGTCACTCCTAAATTAAGCACACTGGGCCTTTCTCTGCTCCCACATGGATTTCATACAAGTTAACACTTTTGAATTTAGTATAAGGTTTTCCACTAATGTTCTGGAACATTTTCCTTTAATTGTTTTCTGCACCCTAACCTTTCAATTTCTGTATAGCTCCCTCAAATTCCATATGATTTTGAGGTAGTGAACAAGGATTGCAGGATCAAACACTGTACCAGACTGTTAAGGATATCCCGAGCTATAAACCACTCAGGGTATGTCTACACTACCCCGCTAGTTCCAACTAGTGGGGGTAATGTAGTCATCCACAGTTGCAAATGAAGCCGGGGATTTGAATTTTCCGGTCTTCATTTGCATGAAGCCGGCCGGCGCCATTTTTAAATGCCGGCTAGTTCGGGCACCGTGCCGCGCGGCTACACGCGGCACGGACTAGCTAGTTCGGATTAGGCTTCTAATCCGAACTAGCTGTACACCTCGTTCCTAATCCGAACTAGCTAGTCCGTGCCGCGTGTAGCCGCGCGGCACGGGGTCCGAACTAGCCGGCATTTAAAAATGGCGCCGGCCGGCTTCATGCAAATGAAGCCTGGGAAATTCAAATCCCGGGCTTCATTTGCAACTGCGGATGACTACATTACCCCCGCTAGTTTGAACTAGCGGGGCAGTGTAGACATACCCTCAGTTACTTCCTCAACATGTTCCTATCTGGCCTACATGTAAATCACTTAACAGCCAGTTTCTCAGTGCTGGAAGGGTGAATGAATCTCAGTTACTCAACAAACTGTGTGCAAATCTGATAGCTACACCTCTGTGACATGTGGCTTAAGATACCCATAGCTGTGAACTGTTTCTGCTAGCTTTCTGCCTCAGCAAGAGCAAGTTTTGCTAGCAGGGACACTTTGTATAATTTTCTGCCACACCAGTCTGTCTTTTTCACCAACAAACTTTTCAAGGCTCTTCTGTGCCCAGCTTTGCCTGGCAGGTCACAGCCTCAGCCTCCTCAGAGGTGGTGTCTACTCTGGGAAGATTTGGCAGTAGAAGTGCTGTTGACATGCAAAAGTGAAAATCCGTCAAACTGTGTTTTTTCTGTCTCCCATTGTCAACATTTCATAGACACATTGCTAGCTCCCCCGTTGACAGACAGAGCAAAGCAATGTGGGTGAGCATCCCATAGTGCAGTGTTGTGGGAAGGCAGAACTGATCTCTGCGCTTCTTGGGATTCTCTCCAAGTTTTCCTACAGCATCATCAGCTGCTCAGAGCAGCATCATGAGTAGCTCTGTGAGGTCTCCATGCTGAGGAATATCAGAGCAGAACAGCAGTCTCTCCAGCCCTCCCCCTGCAGCAGCAGTCTGCCTGCTATTGTGTTCCTAGCAGGGCAGCACAGGAGAATTCCATTGATTTACTCTTTTTGTTTGTTCCCCAAATGGAGCAGCTCATTCAGCTGTCAGATACTCCCTGGAGCTTTGAAAGGGGATGGCGTGAGTCTGGAGGGCAGCAGAGATTACAAAGCACTCAGCAGACATCACAATAGAGAGCACAGCCAACAAGGCAGGCATTGGGGGTGCCCGGCAGAAGCCAGTTCTCTTGACAAAACAAACAAGAGTGCACACTATTTGTCAACAATAAAGGGAGGGGAAAAGACAAAAGTCTCTCACAAAGGTGGAAGTCCTTTGTTGCCAAAACTGGGTGTTTTCCTAATAAACGTTGCACTGT